TTATATCTAATATAAGACATTTATTATATACATAGATAAAGTATCATATAAGCATCGATTACAAATAATTTAATTTTCATTCGTTATATATATACATATATACAATGGTTATAGATTATATATATATATATCAAAAAACTTTTATCATAACTTTTATCTAAAACTAATTAATGTCTGATTCATAAAATTATAAAAAAATATATATATAAAGATAAAAAACAAATTTATGAACATTACATCTACATTAATGTCTTTTTTAATATAAAGAATAAAAATAAAATATAAAAAAAAATCTTATATACAATTATTAAACGCAATATACACGTAGTATATATACAATATTATTAACTTTTGTAAGTTATAAATCACACAATACTACTAGTATTACTTATTGTGTTTATTATATATATATATATCCTTACAATATAAAACTGTTTATTGTGTTAAAATAAAAATAAAAAAAACTAAACCCAGTTTATTGCTATTTAGAAAAAATATTATAGGAAATACTCCATAGATTTTTTTTGCTTGAAAAATAACTTTTAAAGCTTAAATGGTCTCTCATATTACACACAAAAACATAAATTGGATAACATATACACACTATAAAAACCGCAGTACCTGTAGGTTATATCCGAGATACTAAATATATCTATATATATATATATACACCATATAGTGTGCAATATAATGATAGCAATAATTCAATAAAAAAATAATAATAATAGTAATAATAATAATAACATTTATCATAATAGTAGAGGAAGAAAAAAAAGTAAATAAAATTTCCATATTTATATATATGATATATAATTTTATCAATTCAGTAGATTCTCTATATTGTCTCTATTCACTACTATATATTTAATATATATATATATATATATATATATATTATTGTTTTTATTATTTTAGCCAAAATTTATTACACAATTTTGGTTAGCACATCACATAAAGTAATAGGAATATTCATGCATACTTGTAAACTTAGTAGTAGTAGTAGTAGTAGGTATATGAGCTCATCAGCATACTCATCCATTCAAATATGACATTCATATACTGCATATACAGTATATTGCATAAAATCTCGGCTATTTACTACTACCACTAAAAGTGGTATAACTTTAAATATAAAAAATATAGAAAGGGGTGATATATATATTATTTTTATATACACTTTCCAATGATAATAAGCACACCATTCCTAATAGTGAGCGCGACCATTGAAAGTCCGCCCGAAAACATGACAACCGAAAAAAATAGGGGTAGTGTATGTGCTCTACACATAAATCACTGCTATTGCCCCCACCATCGCTAAAATAACCGAAATTATTTACCCAAATGGCGGGCTTACAGTTAAATTTTTTAAATTAATTATACATATTATTAATTATTATATACTTATTTATTAATTTTAAAAATTATTTTTTTCCTGTGATTTATTTATCGATTTTTATGAGCAGTTAAAAAAAGCCGAGATTTTATGAAATATACTGTATATATATATATATATATATATATACTATATATATAAATTATATGTTTATATATACTGTATATTTATTTATATAACTTTATATTAGTATATATTTAGTAATAGTGCACCGGTAATTACTGAACTTGACAATATTATTCAATAGTTTCCGATAAGCAACATATAACCAACAATAACAATAATAATAATAACAAAAATATTATGAATAAATGATAGATAATTATATATAATATTAGTTTTTTTCTTTATGCAATTTACTATGGCTTTATGTGTGTGTATGTGTGTGTGTGTGTGTGTGTGTGTGTGTGTGTGTGTGTGTGTGTGTGTGTGTGTGTGTGTGTGTGTGTGTGTGTGTGTGTGTGTGTGTGTGTGTGTGTGTGTGTGTGTGTGTGGGTAATACTGTATATAATGTAGTACTCATTCAATTAATCACTACTAGAGAATCGGTATTAAGTTTTGTTGTTGTTGTTATTGTTAGTTTTCCCCCCTTTTTACTCCTTATTGCTGGTATAGACACATACCAATAGTATTTAATACGATTACTAACTTATAAATTACATATAAAATAAATAAGTATTTCTAATTATATAATCTAATTTCAAAAAAAATATTAGTATAATGGAATATACTGTATTATATTAGTGTTTATTTATTATTAAGTTATTATTATAAATATTTGATGATTTCACACACACAAAAAATTTGATTAATTTTTTACGCCCCCATATATTTTATCTTTAAATATATATATTATGTATTCAATATAAGTTATATACACTCTTAGTTTTAAAAATATTTTCTTTGAATAGATAGTTAATAATAAATTTATTTGTTTATATAGTGAATATCAAATATTAATAGTATTTGATAGCCTTAAGCATATTAAATACTGTTGTAATCATTTGTTTATCTCATGTTATGTTATGTTTGTGAATGTTATTATTATTATTATTTATATTATTATTACAGTAAAATGTAACATAAATTTTATTTTATGTTAAGAAATAAAATTTTTATTCCTTAACATAAATAATAGAAATTTATGTTAACAAGCAGATTTTTACTACACAAAAAACGGATATAATAATAATTATATAATTAATTTTATGTTAATAAAACTTGAATGTAGTTTTAATTTCAATTATATAATATCAAACTTCTAGCTTTAGGTCTACAGTATATAATAATAGGATATATATATACTGTATTATACAGTATGTATATACTTTATATATTTAAAAAAAATAAAATTAATGAAATCTATTTTATAAAATAATTATTTAGAATTACTGTATATAACATACAATAATAATATAATGATATCCAAAACTTGTGTTTTAAATTAATTTAATAATAATTAATTAACAAAGAAAACTAGAGAGAGAGAGAGAGAGAGAGAGAGAGAGAGAGAGAGAGAGAGAGAGAGAGAGAGAGAGAGAGAGAGAGAGAGAGAGAGAGTCAATGTTTTCAAAAAACTAAAGTTTTTCAGGCAAATAAACTATGTTCAAGTGTTTCACGATTGGATTTTAATGATTTTTTCCAAATAATTATCTTAATTGTAAACAATGACAACAACAACAACAACAATAACCTCATATCTACACACAATCTTCTGAAAGTTCAGTGTATTTTGAAAAAACTATATATATATATATATATATATATTAATATATTGCAAATCTTATATACAGTATATATGATATAATACAATATAAGTATAGTTAAAATAATAATAATAATGTGTGTATAATATGTATTGTTAGAGATTGTTGGCTATGAATAAGTTATATATAAAATATAATACCCAGTAGTTGTATAAGTATAGTAAACTGTCTCTCGACACACACATACAGTCGGCTTCGGTAGTTTAAGCGCAGGACTAGTATCTGATATACCGAAGCGTTTTCAGTTAAAATGATGATAGCTTTTTGCCAGTTAGGCATTTGCCTATCATTATGTTTTACTCCATACATACATACATACGGACACTCACACCAAAAATAATACAGTGTTATTGTGTATATACTTTCCAACACAAAACTATTATCCGATGAATTATTTTTTTCGGTGTGTTTTATATTACCGGTATATATAAATAAATAATAATAATAATATTATTATTATATATTTATTGTGATAACATTTAGCAAGTTTTGAACTTCTCTTATCTGTTAACCAAAAAAAAAACTTTTTTCTTCTTCCGAAAAAAATCCAAAAAATTATTATATAATATATATATGAGAGTCAAAACTTTTTTCTCTTATATATATAAATAATATATATATTTTTTAGTGTATATAATAATGTATTTTTAAAATCATATTTTTTAGGTGAGCATTAATGTATTGTTTATTGTTTATATTTGTGTTAAAAAAAGCATTTTATCCATTGAATTATTATTATTATTATTGCCAATGTATTCAACAATGTTTTTCTGCTTTTATTCGCTAATTTTCAATACTTTTAAAAGATATTTTATTTTTTGAATAATATGTTAAAGTTATTCACATAAAAAAAATTCTTTCAGAAATGATTTTTTTACTCTTTCTGCGGAAGTATTAAAAAATCTGCTGATATTTTCATAATAATACCAATATTATAATAATAATGATAATAATTGAATAATACATTATATTTATATATATATATATATAGAGTATATTTAAGTTATGAATAAATTTGAATTACTAATTTTATTTACAAATATTTAATTTAAATATTTAAAAATATAATTATAAAATAATAGTGTTTAAAATATATGTTTATATATATATATATATATATCATAGTATTATCTAAATTGCATAATTAGATGTTATAAACTTGTCAATTACTGGATAATTGTTACTGTAATTGATATGTTGGCAGTCAATTGTAATTGATTTTATTGTGAGTGATTAATACCAGTCCCCCCCACACACACATATACACCCGAAAACCCCAACCCAATGATAGATGTAATTGTTAATGTTTTAGACCATTAAAATAAATGATAATTTTAATTAAAGTTTATTGAAATGGCAAATAATTTTTCTATTGTTTTTTTAGTAGTAGTAAGCAGTGAACTAATCAATAGACAAATGCATTGAAAAAACTATTATTATTATTATTATTATCTGTCTATTAGTTAGCCAATTAAATTGATCTCTCATTAATGGCATTCAATTAGAAAATAATTATAAAAAAATAAATTTTCATCAAAAAAATAAAAACAAAAACAAAAAACAATTGATAATTTTTGGGATCAATTTTATTTTGCTTATACTTTATATATATATATATATATATTATATATATTTTCCTCCTCTTCTTCTTATAAAATAAATAGATTAAATGCAACCAAAAGTCGACGAACCGACGACTCATCCATTCAATGATCTTCAAAAAAGATTGTCAGCCAAAGACCTAAACATATATATATATATATATATAATATAATATATAACTCATATATATATTATTATAATATATAATATAATACTACTACTAGTCTTCAGAGAGAAAAAGCAAAGAAAAAACACATTAAACGCACAACTATTTAATGATAACAACAACAACAACAACAATATCATTATCATCAACAACAACAACAAAAGCAAAACTTACTGTATATTGAAGAGTCAACTAAAATAAAAACCTATCGGTTCCCAAATGCCGGCAAGAAAAGGACTGCTCGCACCTCAAAACACTTTTTTGGATACCATTGCCACCCGATTTGATGGCACACGTAAGTCATATCAATTTTTGTTTTGTTTTATTAAATATAATAACCAAAAAAATAACAACAATATTACATGTCTTTAATATTATAGCCCAAACAATTTACATTATTACTTAGTAGTAGTAGTAGTAGTAGTAGTAGTAGTAGTAGTAGTAAGTAGTAGTAGTAGTAGTAGTAGTAGTAGTAGTAGTAGTAGTAGTAGTAGTAGTAGTAGTAGTAGTAGTAGTAGTAGTAGTAGTAGTAGTAGTAGTAGTAGTAGTAGTAGTAGTTTAAGGTTAAATATTTTATGTGATATATGCGATATAAATATATATACTGTACATATATATAAAAAAAATTATATCATCTATTTTATAACACAAAATACCGTAGTATTTATGAATATATTTAACTTTTATGATGTATAAACTACTGTATTATACTTTTTTAAATATACAGTATATACACTTGCAAAACAAATATTGTATTATTGTATTACAGTATATTTATTTACTGATATTACTTTTTATATATACGGTATATTCTGTATATATATATGATACTATAATATTTTTTTTGTTACTTTATTTTTTACATTATATATATACTGTATATACTGTATATAATACTAGTTATTTAAATGCATGAATGATACCATAATATTAATAATTTATACTAAACTCAAACAGATAGTTAAGTGAAAGTAATATATTTTAATAAATTATTAACAGTTAGAAAATTTAAAATTTAAAATACCGTATTTATTATTTCTATATAAATATATAATATATGTATGTATAAATCATTTTTTTAAAAATAAAAACTCATTTAACTGGAATTAGCATTAAAAATTTAATTGCCGAATAAATTATTTGTAAGATAGCGAGAGAAAAAAAACTTTTTAAAATTTTTTAAATTATTTGATATATATATATAAAATATTATTTTACGGTATAAAGTTATACCACTGTTTATACTTATCTATAATTTATAATAAAAAAAGTATCCTAAATGAAACTATAATGAAAAAAGCATTGTTTTTATAGAAATTAGTTAAGGATTTTACTTTACGAAAGAATTTTTAAGAGAATAATTCAGTAATGTTTGTAAAAGTATTTTTTAAATCTAAAAAATCCTTTTTGAAAGGTTTTCTCTCTTTCTTTCTTTCTCTCTCTCTCTCTCTCTCCCTATCTCTCTCTACCTCCAGTTTTCTCTTATTTGTTACCAATGCCTACTCCTAACTCACTCACTCACGGATCAGTATTTTGTAATAAACTCTAAGTGATACACAAATAATATATTTTGTTTTGTTTTTTCTTATATTTTTTGTATTTACTAAACGTATCTACAATTGAAACAACAGATTATAAGAAGTTTTAAAAAACAAGATATATATAATACAGTATATATATATAGTATTATGTTTAATATACAGTATATTATATTTTGTTTATCTAATATATAACGTATTTCTATTGTTTACTTATTATTATTATATGTTAGAGATTTTTACATTTTAATGCCAAGAATTTATTGACAAAAATTGTTATTAACAAATATGTTATGTCATTAATTTAATCAACACTTGTATAATATGGTATTTAAAAATTTTTCTACTTTAAAATTGATAATTTTGTAAACAACTTTAAAATTTATATATATATATATCTATTTACTTAATGTTTGAACATCAAACACAACATATCTAGAAAGCATTAATTAAATTAATTTTTAATTACTTTTCATATTATTATTATTAGTAGTAGTATTAGTAAAGTTTTAGTAGTTTCATTTTAATTAAAAATATTTTTTAATTAATGAACAAACAATTTATTTATTGCATTCATTTATTTAGTTAGAAAGAAAGAAAGAAAAATTTTCATAAAAATTATATTACAATAACTAATATACTACTTATAATAATTCTATAATTAATTACATTATAATTAACTATTGATATTAAATTAAATATTAGTTTTCTATTTATATCTATATATATGTAAATATTATACAGTATTATTATAATTATTATTATATATATATTTAAATATAAAAACACAGACAGCAACTTTGTGTTGGGCAACGCACAGGTGCCGAACCTATTTCCGATTGTCTACTGTTCCGATGGCTTCTGCGAGCTCAGTGGGTTCGCCAGGGCTCAGATCATGCAAAAGGGCTGTGCCTGTAGTTTCCTATTTGGTGCCGACACGGCTCATGAACTCATCAAACAAATCGAAGAATCATTGGAAACCAAAAGCGAACTCAAGATTGAAGTGATTTTTTATAAAAGAAATGGTATTTAATAATAGTCTTTGTTTTTGTTTGTTTTTTTTTGATAACTTTTTTTGTGTTGCAAAGAGAAAGAAAAACTGTTATAAGAATCATATATTACTAAATATATATATATATATATATATATATCATATAAAGAGTTTTACAATCATTAAAATTAATTACTTTTTCCAAACAAATGGTTTATTTTTTATTATATATTATACTCATACACACACACACAGGCAGTCCTTTTTGGTGTCTACTGGATATCGTTCCCATTAAGAATGAGAAGCACGAAGTGGTCCTATTTTTGGCCTCGCATAAGGACATTACCCGTACAAAAATGGCCGAAATTGAGGACGAAACCAAAGAGTGCTACGATATGGACGATCTGGCACTCGATGCCAACAGTCCCGTAGAAGAAGAGGACGGCTGTCTAACGGCCAATCATTATCAGCGCCGCAGAAGTCGAGCCGTTCTCTATCAGCTGTCCGGTCATTATAGACGAAGTGTAACCGTTAAGTCTAAGCTTAAGCTAAATAATGTGAGTCTAGTCTAGTCTTAGTCTTTTAGTTTTAGATTTATTTATATTATTAGTAGGATTTAAGTGAGAAACTAATAAGTTTATAGAAATAAATACATACAAAAAATAAATAAATAAAATTATTGATGTCTTTATCCAAAAATCGATATTTGATCCATGATTTTATCATCTTTTTTGTTTATTTGGTGCCAAATATCCAGAACATATTACACTCGACAGCATTGCCTGAATATAAAACGGCGGCTTTCAAAAAGTCACGACTGATTCTCTCGCATTACGGCATGTTTAAGACCTGTTGGGATTGGCTTATCCTAATCGCCACTTTCTATGTGGCCATCGTTGTGCCCTATAGTGCAGCCTTCAGACACAGCAATACCGAAATGTCCGATAAATACAAGACTATTATTACTGATATTGGCGTCGAAATTGTCTTTTTAATTGGTAAGTATTTTTTTTAATATATAAATATATATATATACAGTACAGTACAATGTTTTTTTTGGTAAGGCTGACAATTACATACCTATCCATACACACACACACACACAATGACATCATATACACTGTACTACAGATTATATCAGTAACAGCTTATTATGTAGGTATAAGCTATAAGAAATGACAGCCCGTTAAGTGTATTTGGATTACAGATAATATAAGACAAAAACACAAAAAAATAATATTAAAACAAAGAAAGAAAGAGTGAGTGAGTGAGAGAGAGAGAGAGAGAGAGAGAGAGAACAAAAAAAATAAAATAAGATTTTCTTTTAAAAAATAAAATTATTATTATTTTAAAAACATCAACGTCACATTAATATGTACCCCCTGGTGATGGAAATGATGATAGCTTTTACTATTTATATCATATAAACTCTCACTTATTTATATAATCCAATAATTGAATTGTTTTGTTTTAAACTATTTTTTCTGTTTGAATGAAACTTCACAAAAAAACTTTTATAGATATAATACTCAACTTTCGGACCACATTTGTGAACAAAAAGGGCGAAGTGGTGGCCAAATCGCGATCAATAGCCGTACACTATTTGCGCGGTTGGTTTATAGTCGACCTTTTAGCTGCCCTACCATTTGATTTGCTCTATGCGGCCCACCTTTATAGCAGAGTAAGCTTTTTATATTATTATTATTATTATTGCTATCCATTTATCTATAAATAGCTAATATGAAACATTCAATAATATTATTTAAAAATAAATAAATATATTTATGTATCTTATATACAGTATAATAATAATACTGTTTTAATATATACTAATATATCATATGTAATATTCATTCAGTATATATATAAATATATTTTATCTTTTTTTATAATTAAATAAAGATAACACCATTAATACATTTGCTAAAATTGACTCGATTGTTGCGATTGGCCAGGCTGCTACAAAAAATGGATCGATACTCACAGTTAGTATCAGTATATTATATATATATATTTTTTCTTACATATTATATTATTATTATTATTATTATTATTACAAAATATACCTTACTTTGCATTAAATTACAACATTGCATTGATTTTGCCCCCAAAAAATATTCAATATTATTTTATATGTATGAAATAAAACATCTTATATCAAGCACGTATATATGCATATACACACACAAATAGAGTACAGTATATATATAAATTTATATAAAATATATCATATCATATATATATATAGATGTAAAGCACAGTTAGATTGAGATTAATATATATRTGTGTTTTCTAAGACTTRCAAAAAAAATATATTTAAGACAAAATTTTAAGCAAATTTTTATAATATATATATTTATAAATTCTGACAACTATTTTATATACTGTATAAATATAAATTGAATCTAACATTAAATATGATAGTTATGCGAATAAATTGTGAATTTCATGCATTTTTATGGCAAAGAAACTTTTTTCTATCAATAAATACCTACACTTAATATATACTGTATTATACAGTCTATATATATAGCAACTATTTGTTGATGAATTAGATTTTAAAATATATATATATATATATATATCTAACACATTATGGATAATTAATTTTTATATCTGTTTATTTTGTAAGTATACAACATTAAGTTATATTTAACATTTAAATAATTTACTCATCATTAAAAATATCCTACACAACTTTATACAATTATTAAGTAATGACACAAAACATTAATATTTGCATACATTATATATATATATATATATATATATATATATATATAAATCATATATAAATTTATATAGACAAAAATTACTGAATTTTAATGATTAAGGATTTTTCGCTTTGAAACTAATTAAGCAAAACATTTAGACATAATGTCAATCACTAACGGGCGAAAAAAAACTTAATTATCTATTCATTAAAATACAATCGCTATTAATTAAATGAAATGTACATTAATTTCTGAGCAATCATTTTGTCCAAATGATTATAAACACTTAAGAAAGTGATTGCAAGCAATACTCTTAAGTATATCGTTAACTCTCAATATTTTTTCTGTATTTATATAATACAGAATATTCTGTAATTATTGTACAGTATATACAATATATACTCTATATATATACTATATATAAATATAACAGGTGTTCGCTAATATTAATCTAAATAATAACAGTTAGTTTTATAAAGTATATATAATTTAGCAAATATTAGTGCATAACATTTGATCTTTTTTGTTGTTGTTGTTGTTTTTGCTATTTTCCTATTGCTTAATACTAAACAAAATACTCATTCAACAAATTGCACTTAAATTAATCTCAAACTAAGTCTCAAAATATAAAATTAAAAAAAATAATTATAACGCACATACAGTATATACACACACATACATACACACATACACAGACGCACACACACACACACACACACACATATATATATATATATATATACATCAAGAGTCTATCCATTAGTTTATTGCAAGCTTATTATTATTAATGCCTATTTAAATGAAGGTCAAACACAATTACGAGGGTGTTATTTATTTATATATTTATCTAAATTGTATTGAAGATAATTTCCTATTAGTATTACGTAATTTTAGTTTTTTTTTATTATATATATACAGTATATATATCTTTATATATAATGTTAATATAGAGTACAAATCTTATTAAATATTGTGTATGTGTTTCATAATATAATAATATTATTGATATATCAGTGTTAATATTTGATTTGATCACTACTAATATATCATAATCTAATAATCGGACAAATAAAGTAAATACATCAATGAATAGTCGATAATAATATTTTTTGTTGTTATTGTAAGTAAACTGATTAATACAAATGTAAAAGGTTTTTATGTAAAAGAAATGTTAGACGTCCTTTAATGAATATCCCTGCAAATAATAAATGTTTTAATCTTAGTAATTATATATAATTAGTAAATTTTTTAAATAATAATATTTAAAATGCAATCCAAAACCTAACATTTCAATGAATTTGCATTTAAAAGCTTAAAACTATTTATTTATTATTATTTTGAAATTCATAAATTTTAAAACAGAAATTTATTTTTTAATTACAAAATAAAATTATTTTATTTAAGATTAATGTTATTTACTTTATTTATAAGACTACATATTTTAAAGTCATCTGCAATATTTTAAATAATTAATTTTAGTTATTTTTATAACATTTGTTTTGAATGACTTATATAATATCAAAAAATATAGCTAAAATTAAATATGAAAAAACATTATACATATTAATGAATAAACTGTATAATATCATAGTTGTAAATATAAATAAAATAAATGTATTTAATAATACATTTAATTAATTAAATTTTATTTAATTTGGTCAAGGGACTTTTTATCAAAAAAAAATGTTAACCCAATTTTTCTATACATATGTTTCAAATATATAAAACATCTTTTTTTTAAAAAAAAGTATTATATTATTTGTCTATTATAAACACTAAAAAAATAATTTATTATTATTTATAAAATACTATTCATTAGAGAAATGTTTTTCCTTAAACCAGAGATTTATTATAACATATATATTGTAACTTATAGAGCGTATAATCAAACTAACAATTATTATTTAAAAAAAACAGTTTTTTTTTATCAAATCATTTTTTTCAACAAAAAAATAAGAATCAATTTTTTGATGTTTAAAATCCCAAATGTTTTAGTTTTACATTATATTTGTGTAAAAATACTTATTTAAAATATGATATATTTTTGATTAATTGTTTGGCAACAACAACACCCAAATGATAATAATCGCATACAAAATGTTTTGATTATTAAATAAATCACGAAATAGTAGTTTTGAGATTAAAAATATTTTTTTCTTTAAAAAAACATAAATCTAATATTTGCACAAAACATAAAAATTTGATTTATTGTATTATATTTTAACAATACGATTAATAATCGACAGTATAAATAAATTAAATAATGACTGAAAAAAAAATAATTTAAATTATTAATAACAAATAGTAACAAAAAAAAGTAATTTATATATACGTATGTACTGTATATATACAAGTTTTACTAAATACTTAGATTATTTATAACTTTTAAATAATATTGGATTTTTGATATAAAATTAAATTAGAAATAAGCCAGAAATTAGTAAAAATATTTATCGTTATTTCACAAATATATTACACTATACTGTTTATATTATATATAATTTATAATATATAATCACATAAAACACTTTTGTTTTATTTTTTAACTTTATTTTTTTTACTAGAGATAAATTTATAAAAATTTATTTTGCTATTAATTTTTTATACTATACTACTTATACAGAATGTTTTGTAGATTCAAAATTAGGTGAGAAAATCAAAATCGTTAAAAAAGCCCATTATTTAAAAGTGATAATAATTTATTATTAAAATAATATAACATTAGAAATATATAACAAATTAACTATAATATACTGTATTACTATAATAATAATACTAAATTAATAAGTACAGTAATAGAAATTTATGTTAATAAAATTATATTTGCTATACTTAGAATTTATATAATTAAATTATTAAATAAACAAAAACAATTTAAATAATTGGTAGGTTTTTTAGTAATATAAACATAGAAAGCATTAGATTAATTCAAAATTTTGTTTTCATAAGCAAAATGAAAACAATAGATATTTTTATAATATAAAAGCAAATAACAACATATATAGTACTGTATGTGTTTATATATTAAAATTATGATTATTATTATTAATATATATTTAAAATATAATCCAACTAAACAATAAAATCGATTGTCCAACAGTTTTATATTTTATATATCAATAATAGAATTTAAAAAAAAAGATAAAATAATCTAAAATTTTAAAAATAGTTTATTTCTATTTAATTTTGTTATATCAATACAAAAAAATATAAATATTAAAATAAACTATGATATATGTTAATCTATGTTTAGTGTTGTCAAAAAAGAGAATTTTTTAAAAATAATAGAAATATTTCTCGAAAGTTCTATAGAAATTTATTACTTAGAAATTTTCTTAAAAATTTATTACTTAGAAATTTTCTTAAAAATTTATTACTTAGAAATTTTCTTAAAAATTTATTACTTAGAAATTTTCTTAAAAATTTATTACTTAGAAATTTTCTTAAAAATTTATTAGAAATTTCTATTTGCCCATTTCTATTTGTAATGCTTTATATATATGAATAATAGATATATTTTAGTAAATAATAACAAGTCTAGACATTAGTTAAATTGTGTAATTAAAATATTTAAAAAATTAATTGCATCAACTATTTTGTTTTAATAATTTATTTACAGTAATAAGTTGTACAAACATTTATTTTACAGAAAAATTTATGATTATGAAATATATGATTTATATTTACGTTATTTTATAAATTGATATGTCCTATACACGTAATAATATTTTTTTTTTAATTTGACCCAAATTGATGACAATAATAAATAACACTTTCTAAAAAAAAGTTATTAATTATACATAAAAATACAAATATTTTTTTTGTTAGTTAGTTTGTTTGTATGTATGTATGTATGTATTCTGGTATATAATAAATTGAATTTTGTTAACAAAAAACCAACAACAAAAAATTATTAATTTTTTTCAAGTATAAAAAAATTAGGTAAATTGCATTGTTGATTTGATTTAAGCAAATTTATATAAAAAAAATTTTATTTATTAATTTTGTTATGAAAACAAACTATAATATAATAATATTATTTTTTTTGTATTAATAGTATATACTAATAAAGATGCGCGAAAAAAAGTTTATTAAATTATATATTTATATTGTTTGGTTAGAATATTTTATTATAATTTACTTAATGATTTTAATCATAAATATAACAAGATTTTCAATGAAAAAAACAAAAATATAAGATTATTATATATTATTATATATTATTATTATTATTGTGTAATCAAAGTAAATATTGCAAATAATTATTACATTTTGTCTACACTTTAATCTTCACTGCATCTGTTTATACAATAATTTTTTATTAGTATTTAATACATACAATATTTACTTGAATAATGATAGCAATAATTAATTTACAACTATTTATTTGCTCATTTTATTTACCATTAGATTGTTTATAAATAGACTATTTTGTATAAATATAATTTTGTTGTAAAAAACACATAATAAATGTAATATAAAAATTTTATGTTATGTAAAAATATATATTATGTAAATATAAATATATATATATTATTTGACTGTATTAAGCAAAATTCAGTAAACATTGTGTGTGTGTATATGTGTGTATGTGTGTGTGTGTGTGTGTGTGTGTGTGTGTGTGTGTGTGTGTGTGTGTGTGTGTGTGTGTAAGGAAATAATTTATTTTTATTAGTAGATTTACAGCCCGAAAAAAATAAGTATATTTATATACAAAACCTAAGTCAGCCTTAAAGCAGTTTTATCTCTCAAGTGAACATTAACTTGGATTAGTGGCTGAATTTTTTTGTTGCTATTTTTCTTGACTGTAAATATTTGTAAATTGTTAAATAAGAAACTCAGCAATGTAAAAAATTGCAATTCATTACACAACTAGTTGTTTGTGTTTTGGGTTATATCACACTACTAATGTTTTCCTAATAAGTGCTGACTATGTTTTCAATTTAAATTTGCAAAATATAACTATATATATACACACACACACAACACACAAGAAATTTATATAAATATTTTGTATATATATTCTGTATATATATTCTGTATATATATATTCTGTATATATATTCTGTATATATATTCTGTATATATATTCTGTATATATATTCTGTATATATATTCTGTATATATATTCTGTATATATATTATGTATATATATTCTGTATATATATTATGTATATATATTCTGTATATATATTCTGTATATATATTCTGTATAAATATTTTGTATTTATATACGGTGTATATATTCTATATATATGTGTGTTGTTTCTGATCGGTAAATGTATCTCTTGAAGGTAATTGTAATGCCTGTAAGCTATAGTAAACCATATGATAATTGGTTAAACTATTATGTTACTACTGCTACTGTGGTTGTCTAATATATATATATAGTGTTATTTGACTCAAATGTATTTATAATATATATATATATATATACTGTATATAAATATAAGCGATGGTGTTTGACACTGAAATTAACTCAAGTTATGATAACATTATATTTTTTCTCTCTTCAAATTGTTATTTTTATGATATACAACATATATAAGACAGTATAATAGACAATATAAGATTCGGTAATGACACTCACAATCAAGTATCATATGATACAGTATAATAGTAATGATAAAAAATATATGGGATAATCATCATTAGAAAAGTGTTATATAACTTATATATAACTATATCATATATAACAACAACAAATGTTTAGATGCTATCTTAACTAAATGTTGTAATAAATCATTATTTAATTGATTTTATGGAAATTACTAAAAACTTAACATTTTTTAAAAACAAATATTTATATAAAAATAATTAAATATATATTTTATTGAATATTCTAGTAATAGCATTTACATTTACTTACAGTATAATAGCAATAATAATAAGATAAGATGTTTTTGTATTGATTTTAGTATTCTCTCTCTCTCTCTCTCTCTCTCTCTCTTTGAGTTCTGTATCATCAAAAGCATGGATAAAACCTGTACTATAACTTCAATACCACTACATTATATTGATATATATTATATATTGATAGTATAAAGTAATTTACTTTTATGCAGTACTGTACTGTATGTTAACATAACTAAGCTATAGACCAAAAAGTTTATACAAACAAGTGAATAGAAAGATAGATATATAGATAAATAGAGGGATAGAGAGAGAGAGAGAGAGAGAGAGAGAGAGAGAGAGAGAGAGAGATGAAAGAAAGTTAGTATTAGACAGAAAAAGTCAATATCTTATATCTCAACAGATATAATGTGTCTCTACTTATATTATAGTATTATTAAATCACAATTTATATGTATTTATATATACTGTATATCTATTGATATATCTACTGTATATATCATATATATCTATATCATTGACAAATTTTTCTTTAATTTTTATATAACATATAACTAAATACCTGTTTCTTCTAATAATTATTGATCACAAACCAAGCAGTCAAACACTTCATTAGACAACTGTATATAATATGATTTGATATAATAATAATAATAATAAAAAATAAGTTTCACAATAAAATTTTCTACTGAAAGCCATTCATTAAATTGTATAGTTATTTTTCAATATAAAAATCAGTGATTAGTAAGAAAAATAATAAAAAAAAWATATATATATATATAGTATATATTTATACTGTATCATGTAATTTATTTTAGGATATATTCTGTAAATGTACTAAACAAGTAAAAATAAAATAAAATTTTTATACTTATTTAGGAATTTAATAATGAATAATAGAAAATAAGCATAAACAATTTTTATTTCACATAAAATTGAAAAATAATTTTGTTATACATATTATTATTATTACATATAATATTACAGTAATAATAATAATAATAATAATAATAATAATAATAATAATAATATAATATTATAAAAATGCTATATTTAATGATCTTTAAATTCCGAAAATGCATCAAATATTTATGCAATCATACAAAATATATTCAAACCACATATGATTTTTGCTTAAAATTCATATTTATATATATAAATTTTAACAGTTTATTATTGGGGGCCTTTTAAAAAGTTATTTCATTTATTTATTTATTTTTTGCATATCCTATGATTTTTGTTTTATTTTGATTTACTGATGCATAAGATTTTTTTTGAGCTAAAAATTTTTCAAATATTATTATAATATAGTATATTGTATGATATGATTGCTGAGTTTATCAATAATCAAACTTTTCAAACAAACAAAAAATTATAATATATTTATACGCTTATAAAGACATATAAAAAAAATAACATCAATTTTAATCAAAAGAAAATTATTATATATTGTTTTTTATTATTATTATTATCATTATATTGTATTTGATTTGCATTTCAGGTACAGTTATATTATACTGACATTACTGATGCTATCGTTTTCATTATTGGCTCATTGGTTGGCCTGTATTTGGTATGTAATCGCCGTCGAAGAGATTGAGTTTCATCCGATCGATTGGGACGTCGGTAACTATAAATCTAAATAATAATTTACATTTCATTAAACCTAAAATAATGATGATAATAATAATAGGACATTAAAAAACACTAAACTCTATACAGATTAACATTTAACAGTAGTTTAATGTAAAACTAAACTTTTATGTCAAAAAATATTTGCATTTCATTACTTTCTCTCTCTCTCTCTCTCTCTCACTCACTCACTCACTCACTATAATGTAAATGTTTTGTTGAATTCAAACGTAAAAATACACACAAATTTGATTAAAAATCAAAGTAAAAAAAATGATGTTTGCACTCTCAATATATACAGTATATACCGGTACAGTACTGTATATATATATATATTGTATAGTATATCTGGCAGTAGATTCAGTAATAAAAAAGCAGTGATTTATTTAAAATGTTTGACTGTTTTTTGTTTTTTATTTTTCTATGAAAGCAATTTCTCTTCATTTCTCTCTCTCTCTCTCTCTCTCTCTCTCTCTCTCTCTCACTCACTCACTCACTCTCATTGACTTAGAGTTTAGTTTATATATATTACTTTAAATATTATATTTTATATATATATATCTAACTAACACTATAGAAACAAAACCAAAGCTTTTATTATTGTTAATTTAGATCACAAGTCACAGCTATTTTGAAAAATTCAGTGAAAAAATAAAAAAAATAAAACTAAACAAAAATATATCAAACGGGAACTCAAATCTGTTTTCCGTAGAAAATAATAATTTACTTTTAATATATAAATGTTATTTTCTACACACAAGAAACAACTCATGTATTAATATACAGCACTTTCTACTCTCAAATTTACTGTACATTAAACATAAATATTTGTTTTAATAATACTAATAATACTAATATGTTTTTTGATATTAATATACTATTTGCCAAATACAAGAATTGAAATAATTTATTGCTTTTAGCGTTCATTATATTCAGTATTAGTTATTAAAATTTCAAGAGAGAGAGAGAGAGAGAGAGAGAGAGAGAGAGAGAGAGAGAGAGAGAGAGAGAGAGAGATTATTAAAATATTTGATGTCAAGTGCAAGATATAAAATTTTCATTATAATTAATACATATATTTTTATTTTTAATGAAACTATACACGAAATTAGAATAATAATAATAAAGTTATTGTGCATAAAATTTTAATTATTTTATAATTTTACTAATAATCAAAATAAAGTAATAATTACTAAGAGATAGTAAACCTTTAGCCTATAAAAAAATATTTTGTGAATTTAAATTTAAACAAGAATTTAAAAATTTATTAGTGATAATAAAAAATACAAATTATAGAGAATTAGGACTATAATGTTGTAAAATGTATAGAAAATTATTTGAAAATTTGTTTTTATTTGTTATTTTTGAAAGTAAATTTATATGTCAGTTATGATAACAATTGTATTGTAAAGTACAGGTAGTATTGTGTATGATATTATAGCAAAATAAAAATTTGTATGAATAGTGAGTGTATCTGATCTCTCTCTCTCTCTCTCTCTCTCTCTCTCTCTCTCTCTCTCTCTCTCTCTCTCTCTCTTTATTTCTTTCCTAAACTATTATATCAATTCACACACAACTGTATTAAGCATTTCTTATGTATTAAAAGTGTATAAAAATAGTGACTCAAAGATTGTTTTTTCTTCTTCTTCCTCTTTTTACTACTTCTACTACTTCTTCATCATTCTGTCTCTGGTTATGAACTGATAGACAGAACTAGTGGTAGAAGTAGTAGTAGTAGTAGTAGTTCCACACAATCCAAAAGAAATTGGAAAATAAAATATATTGAAGTGTTTTGAATACAAATATTCAGTCAATATATTTTTAGATGTGATTGTTTACTACAGGTATAGTAAAACACTTCCAATGAATATAATATTTTGAAGTAGAAATACATATAAGTATAACATGTTTTGCTTATATACTGTATTTATTTTATTTAGTCAAAAAATATATATAACTATATATATATATTTTTTTTGCCAATCAATTTTAGTGTGTTTGTAACGATAAAACTCGTGTAGAAGTGGATAAAAAAAACAAACAAACAAAATACAAATCAATAATATAATATAATTAGAGTTAGATCAAATTTCCCATGCAGGGAAGTTCCATAAAATAATCCCTCAAATTTTCACGAAAAATATTGAAAATATCTTATTTTCCTTCCCTTGATCGTTAAAAAAGGAAAAATATATATTTTTATTATTACAATAAATTTACCAAAACTTAAATATTTCGCCAAAAAAAATTAATGAAATATTTAAAAATAATAATTACAATTTTATAAACTTAATCATTACTATTCATCAATTCAACTAAAAATAATAGTTTAATATAATAATTGC